GCGGCGGCCCGGGGGGGGTCCGTACCTGGCCGGGGGGCTCGGCCCGCCCCTGGCTGGAGGCAGAGGGGATGGGGGTGTCCCTGGGGGGGTCCGTACCTGGCCGGGGGGCTCGGCCCGCCCCTGGCTGGAGGCAGAGGGGATGGGGGTGTCCCTGGGGGGGTCCGTACCTGGCCGGGGGGCTCGGCCCGCCCCTGGCTGGAGGCGGAGGGGATGGAGGTTTCCCCGGGGGAGTCCATACCTGGCCGGGGGGCTCGGCCCGCCCCTCGCTGAAGGCCGAGGCGATGCTGTTCTGCACGGCCGTCAGCCAGGCCTGCTGGTGTCTGTCCGAGTCGGCCTGCAGCAGGCAGCTCCTGGGGGGGGGAACACGGGGCGTTGCGGGGGGGCTCCATGAGGCCCCCTCCCCCCAGCCAGGGGGGCGGGAGGCCCAGCTTGAGCAGGGGGAGAGGAAGCGGGTGATGGGGGGGGGACTGGGGAGGAGCAGCGGGGGGGGCAGGGGCTTGGCACTGACGTGGGTGGCGCGGGGGGGGGCAGGACTCACTTGGAGGGGGACACGACTTCGAAGCAGAAGCGCCGCTCGTGGTCGGGGCAGGGTTTGACGGTGCAGAGCCGCAGATCTTCCACCACCACCGTCAGCACGTCCTGGGGGGGGCAGAGAGATGGCACCCCATAGCCCCCCAAAACCCTGCCTCCAGGGGGGGCAGAGAGCAAAGCCCCCCCTCAACACCCCCAGGCACCCTGAGACCAGCCCCCTCCCCACTACAGAGAGATAGTACCCCAAACTCACCCCTGGCCGGGCCCCGGGCCCCCCACTCCTGGGGGGGCCCCCCAAGCCCACCCCCAAAGGCCCCCACTCACCTTGGCCCGTTTCTGATACACCAGCTGATTGCTCTGGATGGAGAACCAGCGCCTGGCGGAGAGCGGGGGGGCTGTCAGTGGGGGGAGGGGTTCGGGGCGCACAGCCCCCCATCGGGGGGGGAGTGCCATAAGGGGGAGGGGAGGGGGGAGGGGAAGGAGGTGGGTTAGGGGGGCACGTGTGGGTCTCCGGGCCCCCCGGACAGATTCGGATGCTCATGGGGGACAGGGGAGTCGGGAGAGGCGTGGGGGGAATTAAGGGGGCAGTGGAATTGGGGGGGGCGTGGGGGGAACTGGGGGGGAAAGGGGGGGTCTCTGACCTGCTCCATGTCTTGAAGGCATTGCTGGCTCGCTTGTAGAGGTACCCCTCCATCACCACCCCGTCCGGCGCCTCCCCGCGCCCCTCCAGCACCGCCTCGTCCTGGGACAGGTCCTGGGGGGGGGGCAGGGCCGTCACTGGGAGGGCACAGCTCCGCCCGCCTCCCTCCACAGCCCTCGCCCCGGGGCTCCGCCCCCAGCCACAGCCCCGCCCCACCCCCACGGTCCCGCCCCTGCTCTCCCAGCTGCAGCCCCGCCCCCACTGCACCAAGCCCCGCCCCCACCCCGCCAGCCCTGCCTCCAACCCCAGGGTCCCGCCCCTTCTCTCCTAGCTGCAGCCCCGCCTCCGCCCCACCAGCCCTACCTCCACCTCCAGGGTCCCACCTTCCCAGGGCCCCATGCCCCAGGCCCCCCTGAAGCAGAACTGCCCATACACCACCAGCCCCAGCCAGCCTCCCCGTCCCATGACCCCGCCCCCACCCCGCCAGCCGCAGCCCCGCCCCCACCCCGCCAGCCCCGCCTCCAACCCATCAGCCGCAGCCCCACCTCCACCCCACCGAGCCCCGCCAGCCACCACCCCACCTCCACCTGCGCCTTGCTCCCCTACCCAAGCATCGCCCCCACCCACCCCAGACCTTGCCTCATCAGCCGCTGCCCCCCTCGCCCCATAGCCAGCCCTGCTCCCCGCCCACAACCCCCCAGGGCTCACCTCCCCCATACCTAGCCCCCACCCCGGTATATTCCCCCAGCCGTGCCCTCTTTGGCCCAGGCCCCACCCCTCCATACATTAGCCACACACCCTGCCCATAGGCTCCTCCCACTGCACCCCGTAGCTGTCTCTCCCCAGAAGGCCCCACCCATACCCACCCACCAGAGGCCCCCTCCCCCGACACCTGCCCCCAGCTCTCCCCCACCTTCTGTTTGATCATGGCGTGTCTCTGCTCCATGTCCCGCTTCTCCCGCGCCGACTCCAGGACCAGCTGGTGCAGCTGTGGGGGGCAAAGGATGGCGGGTGAACACCCCAGATACCCCCCGCCCCGGCCATGCACGGGGCTGGGAACCAGGACTCCTGGGTTCTCTCCCCAGCTCTGGGAGGGGAGTGGGGGCTGGTGGGTTAGAGCAG